GTTTCTGGAAGGGATGAGAGGGACTCATTCACTGAACTTCTCAATAATTTCACAGTTCTGTACCAGTAAAGACAATTTTTTTAAAAAAAATTCTTTGCAAACTGTCTTGTAAGGTTTATATTGGAAAGTTAATTATATTCTTTTTTATTTTATTATTTTCTGAAATGTCTGAAGTGCCCTCAAATGGAGGCTAACCTTCATTCACTGAACTTCTCAATAATTTCACAGTTCTGTACCAGTAAAGACAATTTTTTTAAAAAAAATTCTTTGCAAACTGTCTTGTAAGGTTTATATTGGAAAGTTAATTATATTCTTTTTTATTTTATTATTTTCTGAAATGTCTGAAGTGCCCTCAAATGGAGGCTAACCTTGTAAAGTTTTAGAAGCAGTAGATAATCTGTCCAATTCAATAGGTTTGTGTTCATACACATGGGTTATGTACACAATAACAAAAATAAATCCTTTTTGGCTACTAAAAAAAAAAAACCCAAACAAAACCAGAAACCAAAAACATTTTGATGACTGTTAATAACTCAAAATGCAAAGAGATGCCTGAATAGTGAATAGAAGTAAAAGGGAGATTGGCATGACTGATAAAATAAGGGAACTAAGGAAATTCCCCTGCAGTTCAGTAACTTATTGGTTCATGCAAGGGTGAGGTACCTGCAAACACAGAAATGATACCAGATCATACCAGTCATGACCATCCAATAAAACACTAGGCCTAGTTTCCTACAATTCTTAGCAGAAAACAGTTAAAATTGGTGTGCAAGGTTTGTTTAGGTTTAATGCAGAAAACACTCATTCACCCATTCTCCCCCCACCTCAAATCCTAGTTCCATTCCGATGTCACTACATTACCTCTCTGTATATAAAAAAGTAATCTGTAGCTGAAGAAAAATTTCCCAAACCTGATTTAATGGATTTATTTCTTGCCCTTCTGCCTTAACACTGAAGTACAGAATCAATAGAGCGGAAAACGTCAATTCAACAGGACCAGGATTCATTTCTTTCTTACACAACAGTGAAAAAGTTTAGGATTTGACTTGCTGTAATGCTGGTTAAAGTTCAGTGAAATGTTTATGTCTGGAATTTGGGTGAAATGTGGATGCAGGTACTTTGAAAGAGTTGATTTCCTTAATTTAAAATACAACAACTCAGACCTCCATATGGATTGTGTGCCTTGAATTAGGATTAAATAAAATGAGTTGTGCCTATTCCTTCCTTCACTTGGTAAAGGTGACTGCTGGCCTGATTAGTAAATAAATTTGATCTAAGATGCACCATGCCAGAAGACAGCAATCAGCTATAACACATACTCAGTTATTCAAGCAAATGAGTTTGGTTACCCAGTATAACATGCAAATTTTTTTGAATAAGCAGACAATATGGTCAGGAATACAGTTAATGTTTTCTCAAAAATTAATCTGGCAGATTATTTCCCATCACATCATTCAAATGAAAATATCCTAAGCAGAAGTAAAGGCAGGAAATAAGACAAGCTCCAATTAAATATTATTAATACATTTATTTTAATTATTCAAACTTAAGATACAGAACATTAGCTTGTTTCTGCATCCCTTCCTTTTGTAAATTAAGCTAGAAAATTAAGCTAAGCCCTTTCACTTCTGTCTTCCAGCACCATATCTCACAAATCAAATTCAGTGTTCGCTTTTAGGACTTGCACCAAATACATCCTTATGGGGAATCCTTCAATCTCTAAATCTGAGAAAGCCCAGGACAATGTCAAACTAAGTCTAGTTTGGTGGGTCTACTGTGTCTTTAAAGGTCAGTTAAAGATTGTTTCTTCAAAAAGAAGTTTAAATCCATGTTGCCATGATGAAATAGAATCTTCTGAGATCTCCAGTGTCTGTCTGCGACTTCTCCTGTATTATTTTATGTATATCAAAGTAAAAAACATTTTTGACCCTTCATTTATTATTTCTCTGGAGTCCTTGGGGTTCTCTGAGTTTAGTTGTTTTCTTGCAAATGTTTCGTTACCTCACTAGGTAACATCTTCAGTGCTAGAATGGGATGGGGTTTTCTCTCTGTTTATATATTGTGGCATGCCCTGCCAGTGTTGGTGGGGGTGGGGGTTTTGTTTTGTTTTGTTTTTTCACTGTAGTAGTTCCTTGATTATTGTTTACTGCTTGATTGTATGTCTGGTGATAATCTTGGTGTTACTCTCTGCTTATCTGGGTGATGATTGCTGGTGAGGAAATG